GGTTCACCTGTCTTGTTCCATGGGTTCCTCAGGTTCCCTGGTCTTGCCCCTCGGGCTCCCCGGCTTCTGCTCTGCTTGGGTTCATTGGGTACCTTGGTCTTGTTCCCTGCTTAGGTCGGGGGAGCGTAAGACCCGGGTTTGCCGGGACTCGGGTTCGCCACCGTTTTTTGACGACCGCGCCTCGGATTTTGACGAGGAGGAGTTTCGTGGGATGTCTGCAGCGGGAGGCCTCGTCAAAATGCAGGCTCGGCCTCGTCATTTTTTTGACGACCTCGTCGGGGATTTCCGAGTCCCCTGTACCCAGGTCTTACGTCCCCCTGATTAGGTTCCTCGGGGTCCCTGGTCTGATTCCTTGCTTTGGTCCTTCGGGTTCCTCGGTCTTGTTCCTCGAGTTCCCCGGCATTGCAGGTCAATGCCAAGCAGTGCCAAGCAGCTCGAGCAGTGCCAAGCACCGCGCCCATGCAGTCGAGAGGTTCCCCCAACTGGGGTCGCGCTGGGCTCGCTTCTCAATGCGGGCTCCCAGAAGTCCCGACCCTTTCTCTAGGGTTGTGGGCGACGATCAATAGAGAGGAAGAATGCTGCCAAATAATTCCCAGATGTCTAAAACATGTGTAAACATTGTTTTCAACATGTAACACATGTTTTAAATAAACAGGTTCATGATATTGTCCGACATTTTTGATCACATTTTGAATTCGATGATAGGGCTGTTAGGGTGTCCATTGTCGTGGCATCTACAATTCTAAGGCCAGTTTTTCATCACGACTCCTCTTTGTTGACGACCCCGGGGTCCAGTGCGGGCCTCGAGAGGCCGAACATTTGCACACGAATCCGTGTTGAGTTTCTCGAGATGAAGGCCTGGGCATTCCCTGAGATCCGACGTTGCGAAAAAGCTGCAACCTCGCGAGAATCCCGACCAGAGCCCTGAGCCCCCTCTTCATGCGGCATGTATCGGGCCGGATCGATTCGTGATGGCCCCAGGGCTCGAATCCAGGCGAGAACGCCTGGATTGCAAGAAAATTGCAGCACCCTTACGCGGCCTTAACTGCAAGAAAATTGCAGAGAAGGCCGCGTAAGGGTTGGGGGCGATACATGGGAGGGCAGCGGGGCTTGCAGAAAATTTACCCTTTAGGGCCCCTCAAGGGGCCCCTGTAGGGCCCCAGAGGGGGGCCGTAAGGGCCGGGCAAGAGCACCTTTCTCCCCCCCCATTTATCGCTAATTCGGGTTTTTCCCTCCACAGGAGGAATATTCAAACATTGCAAAAGAATAGTCGGGGACGATATTTCTAGCATGTTTTGACAATGTTGAAGAATTTTTGAGACTATTTTTTATTTGTCGTCGGCCTGTAGGGGGACATGCCCGACCTAAATTTTATCGCCCCGCCCATCAACTTGCGCCCAAGGGGTATCAAGGCAGCGGGCGGCACGCTCCGAGGGCAGTGCCTCGACGACGACCTCGCCGACGACGACGGCGGCGACGACGCCGACGACAACCACGACGACGACGACGACGACGACGACGACGACGACGACGACGACGACGACGACGACGACGGCGGCGTCGACGACGACGACGGCGACGACGACGACGAGGACGACGATGACGACGACGACGGCGACGCCAATGACGACGCTGGCCGGCGACGACGACGACGACGGCGATGACGACGACGAGGACGACGACGACGACGGCGACGACGATGCCCCGAAGGCCGCTGGGGCCCCCCGCGGGCCGCGGGCGGCGCGCCCGCGGGGGGCGCTCGCGCGCAGGCCCCGCCGAGCCCCTGGGGGCCCCTGGGCGGCGCGGCCCGCCTCCCGGCCGGCGCCTCGCAGCTGCCCATGAAGGTGCTCGTGATGGGCTCCTTTTTCCGCCACCAGCACCACCATAAGTTGGAGGGGGAGGAGGTCCTCCTCCTCCTCCTTCTCCTCCTCCTCCTCCTCCTCCTTCTCCTCCTCCTCCTCCTCCACCTCCTTCTCCTCCTTCTCTTCGTCCTCCACCTCCTTCCCCCCTCCAACTGATGGTTGTGGTGGTGGAAAATAGGCACATCAGCTCGGGCAGAACTCGAGGACGTCGTAGAGCGAGGGCCAGGATCGAGGACCCAGGCCCCCTCGCTTCGGGGAACAAAAATCGCGACGGGAGATTTTTGCCCAATTTCGGCCTCGGGGGGCCCTCGCCGGGCCTCGGGACCGTCAGAAAACGGCTCAGGATGAAAAACCTGTCCCCGGGAACGGGTCGGGACTTCCAGGGACCCCGTCCTGAAAAAATCAGGACGTCGCATGTCTGGGTTGAGACGGGGGTCAATGCAAACGGGGGTCAGCCAGAGCGCCCGATCTTGCAGGATCCTGCAGGGCCACCGGGTCGCATTGACCCGGGCTTGGGTGCAGGCTCCTGCAGGATGCTGCAGGATCCTTGGCTTGACCCGGGTTTTGGCGCAGGATCTTGCAGGATCTTGCAATGCCTGACTGGCCCGGGTCTGGATTGACCCAGGTCACAGCAGATCCCCGAAAGGTGCTCGGGCCATCGCGATCGGGGAGGTTTTGCACTGCTTTCGGCCTCCGGGGGCCCTCACCGGGCCCCGGGACCATCAAAAAACGGTTCTTCGGGATGAAAAACCGGTCCCGGGGCAGGGGCCCCCAGATCTCCGCGAGGGCGGACGTTGCGAAACCATCAAGACGTCGGGGGTCTGGGGAAGTCGCCCCGGCAGAGCGCCCGAGCGCCGCGGCAGCAGCAGCGGTGAAGGGGCGGGTCGAGGAGCAGTAGTTCGGCTGCAAAGGACAAGGGTTACTTCGGGCCTGTCCCTCTACAGGAGGAATATTCACAAATAGTCAAAACATCGTCTGGGGACGATGTTTTGAGCATTTTGGGGCCATTTGGTGGGCATTTTTTGTCTATGTTTTATGATTCGTCCAAGATCCCCCTGTAGGAGGACAGGCCCGACTTCTGACAAAAGTGAAAGGCACGGGCATGTATACCTCAGTGTGAGTTTGCACCAGGGGTCGCGGCCGTCCGGACAAAACATGTCGCCGGCCTCCCGGCCGGCGCCCCGAAGCTGCCCCTGAGAAGGTGCGCGCTCGAGCCTGGCGCAAGGGCTCGCCGCCGAGGGCTCCCCCCAGAGCTCCGACGCCATGATCTCTTCCCGCCGGGCCCCAGACATGCGGCGTCCTGATCTTCTCCGGGCGGGGTCCCTATGGAAGTCCCGACCCGTTCCCCGGGACCGATCTTTCATCCTGTGGGCCGTTTCCTGACGGTCCCGAGGCCCGGCGATCGCGGGCCCCCCCCGAGGCCGAGATGGGGCAGAAGCCTCCCGTCGCGATTTTTCGGTTGCGACGCGACCATGTCTGGGGCGCGTTCCCTGGGCTTCGGCCTCCGGGGCCCGTTCTCGGGCCGATCCGCGGGGCCCTCCAGGAGGGACCCGGGGCGCAGCATGGCCCCCGAGGGGGAGGGGGTCGGGAGCTCTGGGGCCGCGGGGGGAGGTGCGCTCGAGCCTGGCGTAGTGGCGCGCCGCGGCTCCGCGCCGCCGCCGCGCTCCCCGGCCCGGCGAGGAGGTGCCGCGGCCTCCCCCCCCCCCCTGGCGGAGGGGGGTCGGGGGCGGCAAGGAGGGGGGTGAGGCCCAGGGGGGGGTGGATATCATGGCGGGGGCCACGACCCATGACTCTCTTCCCAGATTTCTTGGCGCCTCTTCCCATTTCGTTGCGTCCCCTGGCCCCCCCCCTTGGGCCGCGCACATGTCGCCGGCCATGAGTTGCGCCCTCCCCTCTCGGACGCCCCCCTCTTGGACGCCCCTGATGCGGGAGGGGGTCCGAGGAGGAGCGTTGCTTGTCCTGGGGAGGCCTCGCCGCCACGGCCGCACTCGCCTCTGGGAAGTCCTGGACAGAGCGCGCCCCGCAGGAGAGAGGTCCGTGGAGACGCGGTGCCGATTTTTTTTAGTGTCCCCAGGGGGGCTGCAGTGGGACCGCAGGGGAGGGGGTGGCTGCCAGGGATGGTGCTGTCCCCCCCCCTTGCAGGAGGGTCGGGGGCCCCTTGAGGGTGCGGCGACCGCGCCGTGTGGTGAGTCAGCGGGGATGTGGGGAGGCCGCGCGGCTTTGGGACTCGGGTTGTTCTCCGAAGGCGGATGGGGCCTCCAACGTTCGAGATGCTTGGCGTGACCGTGTGGTGAGGCCCTGTGGGGTTCAGAGGTCACTGCCCGGTCCGTCACCGCACCTTTTGTGACCCCCAAGAGGGAGGGGGACTGGGGGGGTTGCGGCCGGTCCACATATTCGCCACCCAGCCCTCCCCATGTCCCTCCTCCGCCCATCGAGGATCGAAGATGGAGTGTCGAGGGTCGAGGTCCCGGCCTTCTCCTCCTTGTACCTTCTCCGTGGCGCACGAGAGCGTAAAGGGCGGGTGGCGGATGCATGGGGAGGAGGAGTCTCGAGGGGGGGCTTCAGAAGGTGGCCGTCTGCGCCGAGGAGGGGGAGGAGGAGGAGGAGGAGGAGGAGGAGGAGGAGGAGGAGGAGGAGGAGGAGGAGGAGGAGGAGGAGAAGGAGGGGGGGAATCTCCAAGAAAGGGGGGCACCGAAGGCCGTCTACGCGCGTCGTTGCGTTCGCCTTTGTCGCGCTTCGCTTCTTCATCCAGGTCGCCCGCGGGGGCGCCAGGACAATCGCGCGCCGCGTTCTGAACTGGAGGGCTGGCATGGATCCAGGAGTTGGCGGCGCGAGGGCGCGAGGGCGCGAATGATAGCCGCGCGTCGCGCATCGCGGGGCGGGACGTGCAGAGGCAGTCGGCACAGCCTCTTCTGCTGGTCAGCGCCGGGGGTTCCGCCGAGGTCTGCCGCGGATGTCGGCGCAGCTATCCGGAGGGAAGCGGGGCCTGAAGTATGTTAGTTCGCTATTTTGGGGCTCTCAGGGGCCATCCACGGGCCCCGCAGCCGTCAACGAACCCAGCGCGACCCCGGTGAGGGAAACGCTTCCTCAGCAGCATTGCCTGACATCGCTTGGCATTGCATAGCTTTGCTTGGCAGATTGGTTTGCATTCCTTTGCTTTGTTTGGCATTGCTTGGCGCTGCTTGGCACTGCTTGGCATTGCTTGACATTGCTTCGCAGTGGTTGACGTTGCTTGGCGTTCCACGCACTTGTAAAGAAACAGCACCCAAGGAACCCCTGAGGACGCCACTGTAAAGAAACAAAGCCAGGGACCCCCCGGGCGCGCCATTGTAAAGAAACGAGACTGGGGAGCCCTCTGCAAGGAAACAAGACCAGGAAACCCCGGGGACCCCCGGTGCGACCGCGCCCGGCACCCGGCACTTATTTCAGAATCGAATCGGAACCCCAGAAGGCAAAGCCTAATTTGGGGAAGTAACGCTCATGGTCAGGATATGGTCCTGGGGAAGGCCCTCTGGGGACCAGGATCCGTTTCCCTCAGGGACCGTGCTCTTGATGCCGGGCGGTGGTCGATATCTCGCCTAGTGGGGCGCTCCGCGCTTTGCGATGGATTGGGCCGGAGCGGCCGTGGATCTGCTTGCGTGCTTGGATCTCGGGCACCCTGAACCCGGGGGCTGGTTTCCAAGAGGGAGCGCCAGTACAGTGAGCGGCTTGAATCAGGAACACTTACTTTTCAGAAGGGGCTCGGTCGTTCCTTAGGCTTGTATGCGTTATTTATCGTTCCTTATGCGTTATGGATTATAGATCGTTCCTTATGCGTTATATCTATTCCTTCAACCAAAAAAAGGCTTCGTTCCTTCTTGATCGTTCCTTAGGTCAGGCCGATGACTGTAGAGAGCGAGAGAGAGGGCATGCCCGCGGCGCGCGGACAAACGTCGCTCCTTGAAGGTTGAGCAAGCGAAGCTGCATCTCTGCATGGTGCTGCACCAGCGCCCGAAGAACACGCCTCTGGGCTTCTGGGCCGTCGCGCAGCAGAGCCTGACGGCACTGGCACTCTGAGTGACCTGCCTTGCCTTGGGGTAGAGGTACCCTTCTCGAAAGCGATGTGGACAACCTTTCATCTGCTCTCGCGCTACTCTGGTTCGAGGGGACCGCGTGAGCTGCACCATGTCGCTGCTCATTGCCGTTGTTATGCGTCGTCTGCTCATGGCGCAGGCCTGAGCTGTGGACAGATGGCGTCGCTTGGCACTTGTTGGTTGAAGCATAGGGCAAGGGATACGACGAGGAGAGGGGGAGGGGGAGACTGAGAAGGATGAAGAGAAGGGTGAGGAGGGGGACGGGGAGAATGGGAGGCGTCGACCTGTCACGGCTCACACGCGGAAATCTTGGGAGGAATCACCGAGCACATAGCACGGGCGCATGCGGGACGGGAGCAGCTTCGGGCGCACGGGTTCACGCGTACCAGTGGTGATCAGAACGAGGCCGCAGCGCACTCCTGGCGATGCCGCCACTTATGCGCACACCCACCTGGACCAACCATGGAGATCAGCATGCCTTCTGGGATCGAAGATGAGGTGCTTCTTCATGACGTCGGCCTGGCACTCTCGAAACGCAGCGCCTTCTCGAGCAGTGGGGCAAGCTAGCGAAAGCCAGATATCCACATGAGTGGATCGGCGCCTGGACCTGATGCTTGCCCACTGCCGCGCAGGATCTGTTGCAGGCCCACCTGTGATGAGCCATCTGACCTCCCGGTGCTCGCGACGAGCCTCGGGAGTCGGCAGGCCGGGCCCCACGCTGCCGAGGTCGTCGGAGCCCAGAGGCGCCATAGCCGCTGCAGCCCCAGGTGAAGACAAGGCCGCACTCCGAGGGCAAGCACACCATCACCACGGTCTGATGGGCCTGTCTTCCACCACCGCCACCATAAGTTGGAGGGGGAGGGGGTCCTTCTCCTTCTCCACCTCCTCCTCCTAGTCCTCTGCGTCCTCCTCCTCCTCCTTCTCCCCTCCAACTTTTGGTGGTGGGGGTGGACAACAGGCCCATCAATAGTCAGGTGACGGATCAGAATCGCCCCTGCATGAAGCCGACGATGTTTGACCGAGAAGGGTGGACTTTCCCACCCCGAAGGCCCCCTATGCACGATCCTGATCTGGAGCGGCATCCGTATAAACTCAGATTTCGTGTCCCGCGGCCACAGCGGCCCCGTAACTTCAGGAAGAGGATTTGAACCACCATCGGCGATGTCGATCCGTTGAGGCCTGATCTCGGCGGCAAGCCCGGGAGGGGAGAGCGAGAGGGGGTGAGCCTCCTCAGACTGCGGCAGGGCATCTCTTAAGCCCTCGCGCCTTCTGATCAGTGTTTCCAGCCTTCTTCGAAGACGGCGACGGCTCCTCAGAAGTCCAGAGGGGCTTCTGAGAAGCCCCGCCGCCTTCTGAGAAGACTTGCCCCTTCTCACTTCCCCCCCCTGGGCTCGCCGCCGAGGATCCTGCTCACGCCGTCGAGGCTGATGCCACCCTCCCGCCGTCCCAGGGTACTCCTGCACCTCCGCGGGGGGCGTCGGGGCACGGCGCGGAGGCGGCGGAGGCGGCGGCAGGGTGGCAGGCGCCTCCGACGGGAAGTCACGACAACGATACGTTCCAGGAGTTCCCAGGTTTCCAGCACCTCCGCGATGTCCGACCTGCTCGAACGCGGTCTCCGGAGGCGAGGAAGCATGAGAGCCCTGGAACGCATCTTGAGTTTCAGACGCATCGTGACATCATTCTCGCCCAATAGTCTAGGCCGCCCCCGGGGCGCGAAGGTAACCGCGCTGCGCGCGCCGCGGTCTGGGCCGGAACGATTCTGCCTTTCTCCAGCGGGGGTGGCGCGAGGGCGCGAAGGTCATCGCGCGACGCGCACCGTGGGGCGTCATGCGCTGGACCTCCCTGTCGGCGCCTCCGGCGCCACCCCTGGCGCGCTCCGCGCGCCAGGGAGGTCCCGCGCCGATCCAAGAAAGCCGCGCGGACCTCCGAAAGCGTGTCTCTTCCCGGTGGGGGCTCCGGCCCCAGGGTTCTCTTTCCGTTTGCGGGCCAAGGGCCAAGGGCCCTCCACCAGCAGGGCGTCGAGCCGAAGGCGTCGGCATTGGACGCGTAAAAAACGTGTGCGGAGGAAGGGGAGGGGGGTCGAACCGCAGCCTCGGCACGCGTGCGTCCGCCAGGTGTTTTCACGCGTTTCTGGCCACGACGGGGCCGCAGGCTGGTGGCGCCGGATTCTTCACACACTCTAGAAATACGTGCGCGGAGGGGGGGTCCAAGGCGCGCGTGCGTGGGGCACGTGTTCTCATGTATGCGGGGCCGCAGGCGAGGGACGCAATTTTGTCGCGCTGGATTCTTCACACGTGAAAGTACGTGTGCCACATGTGCGGGCCCGGGGGGACCGAGGCGCGTGCGTGTGGGGTACGTGTTTTCACATGTCCATGGCCCCCAAGGGGCTCCCGGTAAGGACTCCGGCCCAGGGTTTTCTTGTAGTTCCCGGAAAGGGCTCTGGCCCAGGGTTCTCTTTTGGTTCGCGGGCCAAGGGCCCCCCGCCAGGAGGGTGTCAAGCAGAAAGCGTCGGAATTGGACACGTAAGAGTACGTGTGCGGAAAGGGGGGGGGGGTCCAACAGGAGTCTCGGCACGTGTGCGTTCGGCACGCGTTTTCAAATGTTTCTGGCCGCGACGGGGTCGCATGCGAAGGACCCGGCGTGGGGGGGGCTCTGGATTCTTTGCGGCGGGGGACGCAGGCGCGTGCGCGCAGGGCACGTGTTTTCACGTGTCCACGGCCCCCAAGGGGAGGGCCTGTCTTGGGCGCGCCAGATTCGTCACGCGTGAAAGTACGCGCGCGGGGGCGGGGGGGGGCACAACATGCCCCAGGCGCGCGCGTGTAGGGCATGTGTTCTCGCGTGCCCACGGCCCCGAGGGGGGACCCAGCCTGTGCGCGTCGGATTCTTCACGCGGAAAAGAATGCTTGCGCGGAGGGGGGGGCCCTACACACGTCTGGCGCGTGCGCGCGGGCATTCTCACGTGCCCCCCCGGGGCCGCAGGCGGGGGTCCCAACTTGGAGGGGAGGGGCAGTGTGCACACAAAACTGCATGCGCGGAGGGGGGGGGGCTCAACACGCGCCTGGCGCGTGCGCGCGGGTCACGTGCTTTCACGTGCTCACGGCCTCCAGGGTTAGACCCATGTTGGGTGGGGGAGTCCTCGACGCGTAAATGTACGTGCGCGGAGGGGGGGACGACCCAACATGTGCTCAGCGCGTGCGCGGAGGGCACGTGTTTTCCTGTGTCCACGCGACCCAACTTGGGGGGCCCAATTCTTTACACACGAAAAACGAACGCGGAGGGGGGACCCAACATGTGCCTGGCGGGTGTGCGGGGGGCACGTGTTCTCACGTGTCCACGGGGCTGCAGGCGGGGGACGGAACTTGGGGGGGCCAAGTTCTTCACATGTAGAAATGCACGTGCGCGGAGGTGGGGGGGGCCCAACCTGCGCCTGGCGCGTGCGCGCGGGGCAGAGACGACGACGAAGGCGGGAGAGGGTCAGGTCGAGAGAGCGAAGAAGGGGAACGTAGGAGCGATAAGAGAGAAAGAGAGAGAGAGAGAGAGAGATGGGGGGGACAGGGTAGGAGGAGGACGAAGAGGAGGGGCGGGGGAATGAGCAGGCCGAGGCAGGCGATGAGAAGGACAACGACGGAGATGAGGAATGCGGACGAGTGATACAAGGGAAGGAAGACATGACGATGATGGTGATGATGATGCTGATGATGACCATTATGATGCAAATGCCGATGATGTGCATGCTCATAATGATGCTGATGTTGATGGTGGTGATGATGGTGATGATGGTGATGACGGTAATTACTGATGGTTATGGTGGTGTTGGTGATGATGATGTTGATGATGATGGTTGTGGTGGTGGTGGTGATGGTGGTTGTGATGATGATGGTGGTGGTGATGACGATGATGTTGCTGATGGTGATGCTGTTGATGTCGATGATGATGCTGATGCTGATGATGCTGATGATGATGATCATGGTTAGGATGGCGATTATGTTGTTGCTGCTGCTGGTGCTGCTGCTGGTGCTGCTGCTGATGATGATGATGATGATGCTGATGATGATGATGATGATGGTGGTGGTGGTGGTGATGGTGGTGGTGATTCTGATTCTGCTGCTGCTGCTGATGATGATGATGATGAGGAGGAGGAGGAGGAGGACGATGAGGATGAGAACGACGATGCTGATGCTGATGATGATGACGAGGAGGAGGAGGAGGAGGAGGAGGAAGAGGAGGAGGATTATGATGACGACGACGACGAGGAGGAGGAGGAGGAGGAGGAGCACGACGACGGTGAGGAGGAGGAGGAGGAGGAGGAGGAGGAAGGGCAGCAGGAGATAGTGGTGGCAGTCCAGAAGAGGGGAAGTGTAGCTCGCGTGCCAGAAGAAAGTTCAACTCAAGTTCCTTGCCAGGCTCGTGAATCCCTCAGGTTTTGCTTGTTGCTCTCAGTGGCACTGTCCGTGCGTCTCGTCCTTCTTCTGCTGGCGGTTCCGCGTTACACTGTGATCCTTGGCGCCTCCAGGGCCCTGGTCGCCAACGTGCTGTCCGTCCAGACCCCAGGCAGAGTGAAAGAGAGAGAGAGAGAGAGAATGAGTGATATATCTATCTATATAGAGAGAGGGCGAGAGAAGAGGAGGAGGAGGAGGAGGCGGAGGAGGAGGAGGAGGAGGAGGAAGAGGAGGAGGAGGAGGAGGAGCAGGAGCAGGAGCAGGACGAGGAGGACGAGGAGGAGCAGGAGCAGGTCGGAGGTAGAAAGAACATGAACATGAAGAGGAAGACGAACACAACACACAATAGAAAGAAGGCGAATAATAATAATAATAAGAATAATAATACTACTACTAATAATACTAGTAGTAGTAATAATAATAATAACATTAATAATAACACTAATAATAATACTACTAATAATACTACTAATAATAATAATAGTAATAACAATAATAACAACAAGACAAAACAACAGGAACAAACAAGCAGGACGAGGAGAACGAGGACGAGGAGTACAAGAAGGACCAGGAGCAGGTTTGGGATGACGGGGACGAGCATGGCGGAGGGAGGAGGGAGCATGAGGTCGAGGATGAGGATGAGGATGAGGATGATAATGATGATGATGTTGATGCTGATGCTGATGATGATGCTGATGCTGATGCTGATGCTGATGATGATGATGAGGGGGAGGAGGAGGAGGAGCAGGAGGAGGAGGAGGAGGTGAGGAAGTGGAGGAGGAGGAGAGGAGGAGGATAGGAGGACTAGAAGGAGAAGGAGCAGCAGGGGGAGGGGAGGGGCTAGAGGAAGGAGGAGTACGAGGCGGAGGAGGAGAGGTGGACAAGGAGGAGAGGAGGAGGAGGAGGAGGTGCTAAAGGGAGGAGGAGGAGGCGGAGGAGGAGGAGGAGGAGGAGAGGCTAGAGGGAGGAGGAGTAGGAGGAGGAGGAGGAGGAGAAGGAGCAGCGGGTACATGGGGCGGTGTGGGGGAGGGGGATGAGGAGGCAGATGGAAAGGAGGAGGAGGAGGAGGAGGAGGAAGAAGAAGAAGAGGGGGAGAGGAGGAAGAGGAGGAGAGGGAGAAGGAGGAGGAGGAGGAGGGGAAGGATGAGGAGCAGGTCGAAGGGATCCCAGGGGAGGAGGGATAAAAGGGGGGAGTGGGGAGCGGGCAGGGGAGGAGCAGGAGGCGGGAGGGGGAGGAGTAGGAGGACGACGACGAGGAGGAGCGAAGCGCCGCCCGCGTCCTGCCAGTTAGGCCAGCTGTCGAAGGGCCCCGGTGCTTGATGTTATGTGCTTCGCTGTCTTTATTTCTCTCTCTCTCTCTCTGACCTTCTCTATATCACTTTCTTACTCCGTCCTCTTTTCCATCTTCCCCTTCCTCCATCTTCCTCTTCATCTTCTCTTCCCTCCATCTTCCCCCCCTCTTTCCCCGCCCTCCATCTTCCCCTCCACTGTCCCTCTTCCCTCACATCTTCCCCCGAATGTCTCCCAGTGCATCCCTTTCCTTCCTTCTTTCCCCTCCTTCCTTCCGTCCCCTTCTCTCTCTGTCTCCTGGCTCACCCGCGGTGGTGCCAGGATAATCGCGCTTCGCGCGTCGCGGCCTGGACCAGAGCGGCTGCCTTTCTCCAAGGAGGCGGCTTGAGGGCGCAAAGAGTCTCGCGCCGCGCATCGCGGGGCGCGATGCGCGAAGTTAGGTGACCTAGCTCTTTGTAGTTCGTCCCCGCGACACTTTTTCCTTTTTTCTGTTACCCATCGTCCTCTCGGGCGCCGCCCCCTCCTCCTTCCCCTTCGTCCCCCCCTCCATCTCTATCTCTCCTTCCCGCCCACATCTCTCTGTCTTCCCCTTCCATCCATCCCCCGTTCTCCGTCTATGCCCCCACCCCCCCTCAGGAGGAGAAGGAGGAGGAGGAAAGGAAGGAGGAGGAGGAGGAGGAGGAGGAGGAGGAGGAGGGAGGAGGAGGAGATCTCCCCCGCCCTTCCCCCCTCAATTCGGAGGAGGACGAGGTATCCCACCCCCCCCAATTAGGAGGAGGAGGAGGAGGAGGAGGAGGACGAGGAGGAGGAGGAGGAGGTATCCCCCCTCAAGGAGGATGAGGAGGAGGAGGAGGACGAGGACGAGCAGGACGAGGAGGAGCAGGAGCAGGTCCAAGGGAGAAAGAGAACTAACAATTAAGGTGAAACATAACACACATTGAGAACAATAAGCAAACAACGTAGCAGGAGCAAAAAAGCAAGACGAGACGAGGTGGACGAGGGGGACGAGAAGGACCAGGAGCAGGTTCGGGATGAGGGGGAGGAGCAGGGTGGAGGAAGGTGGGAGCATGAGGAAGGTGGGAGCATGAGGATGAGGATGAGGAGGAGGAGGAGGAGGAGGAGGAGGAGGAGGAGGAGGAGGAGGAGGAGGGGAGGAGGATGAGGAGGGGGAGGAGGAGGAGGAGAGGAGGAGGAGAAGGAGGAGGATGAGGATGGAGGAGGAGGAGGGGGAGGAGGACGAGGAGGAGGAGGAGGAGGCGGAGGAGGTGGAAGAGGCGGAAGATGAGGAGGGAAGGAGGAGGAGGAGGAGGAGGAGGAGGAGGAGGAGGCATCCTCGCCCCTCAATTCCCGCGCCCCTTCGGTGCGCGCGCCGCCTGTTTTTTCCCCCTGCTCCTTTCGCCCCCCCCGCCCGCCCTCGGCAGCGGCAGCGCCAGCCGCCCGGACACCCGTCCCCGCCGCCGATGGGGGGTGGGCGTGCCTTGTGGGGCCGCGGGCGCAAAGGTGGCATGGTGGTGCCACAACGGGCACGCCCAATGCCGACATCCGAATAATAATAACGATACTTCTAACAAGAATATCATCACCAATACTTAATAGCAACACTTACAATGATAATGATAATATTAACAATGATTATACTAATAATCGTGCTATTAATATTTCTAAACACCGTAGAAAGTAATGATAGTAACAAAATAGCGAGCACTAAGCAGTATGCGAATACGAATGTCAGTCATAATATCAGGACTGATAATACGACTACTAGTAAGAGCAAATGATAGTTGTAATATTAATAGTCTAATACGACCAGCAATAAGAAACATGATAACAACAAGAGGAGGTATACGAACCAGAGGAGTTATACGGACAATAATAGTAAAACTATAGCAGCAGTAATCTCAAGAACAAGAAGAAGCCGATTGTCTATAGAACCCCGACCCTGCCAAGGCGACTAACGAATCGCCTTTCTTTGTCCCGTTTCGGTTTTCGACGGGGCGTTGCGGCCTCAGGGGGGAAGTTCGACGTTTGGAGTTGTCGTCGGTTCTCAGAGGGTCTCCAGCCCCAGGGTGCGTTCCAGCGGCTGCGCCTCGCCGAGAGCTTTCCGGGGATGCCCGGATCCTCCCGAACCACCGCCAGAGACTTCAGTAGTCCGAGCAGCAAGCTCGGCGGCGCCCCGAAGGGGAAAGAAGCGGGAAGGGGGCAGGCCTTCTCGGAAGGCGGCGGGGCTCCTCAGAAGCCCTGCGGGCCCTCCGAGGAGGGGCCTCCTGTGGCCTCGGGGAAGGCGTTTCGGGGAAGCTCCGCAGAAGGTCAGAGGCCTTCTGAAGCTTCTCTGTGGCGGCCCGCCCCCTCTGCCTTCCCCCCGTGGGCACGCTCGATGCCGATTTCCTCGGGGGCGGCAAGGAGGGGGGTGATGGCCAGGGGGGTGTGGATATCATGGCGGGGGCCATGAGATCTCCCCAGATTCCATGGCGCCTCTTCTGAATTTCAACACGTCCCCGGTCCCCCCTTGGGCCGGGCACATGCCGCCGGCCATGAATTGAGCTCCCCCTCTTGGACGCCCCCGTCTTGGGCGCCCCCGATTTTTGAGGAGTAACAATTCAACCCTCGACAAGTTAGTCTCCAGATTGTTGGCGCGCCCCTTCCATGTCGCGCTCCCCTTTCGCCCCTTCGACGTCGCCCCCCACCCTTCAGTGTCGAAGCATAGCGAAACGCGGTCTTGGCCAGTGCGGCCCGGAACTTCCGCGGTGACCAGCAGTGGAGAGCGGGCGCCACCACGTATTTCGCACGCAATGGCACCTAGACCCAGAGCATCAATTACGGTCGAGCATTTGGTTATTAAGAGACCTCCCCCCGAAAAGTTGGGCCAGCGTTTCTTGGCCAACTTGCCGAACAGTTGGCCCAGTTTCATGAGCCCCGTTCGCCCTTCCACCGTTGGCACGAACACTTGGCCCCGGCTTGCCTTAAGAAATCCCGGAAAGTTGGCCCAGGTTTCTTAAGCGATAAGTTTCTTGATCGCATTTCCGGCTGTATACGAGTAAATAGCGCAACTCATTTTTGATGCTAGTTTTGCCGACGGCAGTTGGTCACCCGCGGGAGCACGAGGATAGCCACGTTTCGTGCGTCGCGGCGTGGACCGCCGAGCTGGGGTTCTCCGGGGGCGCCGCGAGGGCGCCAAGGCAACCGCTCGTCACGCATCGCGGGGCGCGATGCGCGAAGTTGGCTGGCCTAGACATACACCTTCGGCGGTCTGGCGGAGTTCTTGGATCGGCGCCGGAGCCCCCTGGCGGTGCTTCTGGCGCCGACCCCCTCTGCGCTCCGCGCGCCAGGGAGGGGAGCCCAACGCCGATGCAAGAACTCCGCGCGGACATCCGGCAGTTTATGTTTGTGTGGCTTCTTCTTACTCGTAAGTCGGGCCTGTCCCTCTACAGGAGGAAAATCGAACAATTGTGAAAGAATAGCATGGGGACTAATTTTTGATTTTTTGATTATTCGGGGGATATGTCTTGCGTATTTTAAATTTGTCGCCCAAAATCCGCCTACAGGGGGACACGCCCGACGTAACCTTACTCTTTCTTCTGAGGGCATGTGGAACCGATCCTCCAGGTGTGTGCACGCGAAGCTGTCTCCCTCGCCGATTCGGGGGCCCTGCCGCGGTTTCTATATGCACGCGCCGCACGCTCCACGGGCCTCACACAGCTTTTGATTGAGCTCCCTTTTTGTTCCGCAGCCTCGCTCCCGTGCCTTCTGGGCCTCGGCTGCGACAAGATCCCGCGGTCAGCAGATGGCCTCGCCCGCGGGTCTTCTGGCATCGTCTCTCGCGAGGCAATAGCAGGCCAGCAGCAGCAGCAGCGTGACTTGCACCTGACACTGTTCCCACCATAGGCGAGGTCTCGCTGATCAAATTTTAGTCGCAGTCATCTTCCATTAACCTCATCGGCTTGAGGGCGCTCGGTATGCCACATTGTCCAGGCCGTACGGCTTCCCGCTGACGCGTCGGCGCGAATCTCTGATGCAGAGAGATGGGGATGTGCGACCCAGGGGTTGGAAGCAGAGTTCGCCCTTGATACAAAAGCAGTGCCACGCATTGTTCTTTCTGTTTCGTTTCTGTTGTGATGTCCCCCTCTTCTTTCTCCCCGCCAGCGTTCTCCTCAGCATCCCGCTGTTCCCTCGTCTTCCTCCTCCCGTTGCGCGCAGCACATATTGGCGCGTCCGCGATTTCGGTGGGAGGGGTCACAGCGCAGTACGTGGTTTCATATAACTGTGCAACGCCTGCACGAGGGGAAGTGCACAAGCAGCACGTGTCGCACGGTGCCATAGATTATTACCAGGTCAGCATGGCCACACATAATTCCTCGCGCGCGGGCATTGGCTACTTGAGCAATCTCAGACGTGCGAGACTCTAGGCAGGACGAGAGAAGCACATGCCGTCAGCGTAAGATCGACATCCTTCAACGCAGTCGCAGGGGGGAGTTTGGGAATCGCTTCCCCTCTTTCCTCCTCCTCTTCTTCCTTCCCCTCCTCACTGTATCACTGCTTCTTCCATCTTTCACCCTGTCCTCCCTCTTCCCCCCCTGGGGTTTACAATGCTGCCTGGCTGCGCTGGAACATCCAGTGGCTCGAACGCAGAGCTTCCGGGCACCTTGTGTGAAGTCCTTGAACTCCGGGTTGGGCGCGTGCACAGGAGCATGTTTTGTGACCGTGGACATGTTCGAAGAAGTGTTTAGTCTGCTAAGTTGTTGAATGTCACATCGCATGGTGATGTAGAGTGCCAGACGGGACCCACTAAACGGGGTATGCCTCTCCTCCAATCAAGCTGGGACAGTTGCATTTAGCCGTCTGGGAGTATAGGGTCGCAAATCCCCAGCAGTAGGTGCACGCCTTGAACTGTGATATGCGCCGTTGACACGCTTGCAGGCACCAGGGTGGATCACGCAACATGTAAAATAACTTTGAGCTGGTGGCTGTCGCCTGGCTGTCAGGAATCACTGGAGGGCCATTTAACCTGGAATGCTTGATGCGTAAGTCCAGGAACGTCGTGTTCGGCAAAAGGAACCTGTGCGGCCACCCAATCAGGCGCTCGCTCGGTGTTGACTCTGACTGGCAGCTCTTCTCTGTTTTTTTGGGCCGCAGCCGAGCACCTGGCACATTGACTTCGATCATCGGGCCGTGGCTGCTTCTTCTGCGGAGGTGGTCCCTCCAGCATTTTTGCCCTGGCTGGCCGTCGCTGCTCCCCGGGTTGCCGCTCCGCGGCCCCCCCATGGGCTGCGAGCCAGGTGCAGGCTTACCTCGGGCTGCGAGCCAGGTGCAGGCTTACCTTTACGCCCGGCCTGGGCTGGCGACGCATGATAAGTTTTGAGTCGATGCTCACGTTTTATTCCGCTTGCCCATCCAGGGTAGCGGTGCTCGGGGCACAGGCCCGATGCTTGAGATACGAATGTGTTCCCCAAGGTGGTTTTGCCCAGTCACGGTGTCTAGCTCGCTTTTGTGTAGGGGGACTCCAGGCCGCTGTGAGGTCCGCTCTTCGGGAGCTCCCTGGGGGAAAATCCTCGACCCAAGGAAACGAGCAAGACCCAGGAAACGGGGGCGCGAACCCCAGAGCGAAAAAAAGACGAACCCGTGAGGATTTCGGGGCGTCGGAGGAGAACGCTGCAGAGGAGTATGAGGAGGATGAGGGCGACGATGATGATGATGATGACGACGACGACGATGACGATGATGCTGATGATGATGATGATAATAATACTGATGATGATGATTATGATGATGACGATGATGGTGATGATTATGATGACGATGGTGATGCTGATGCTGATGTTGATGATGGTGATGATGATATTGATGATGCTGCTGCTGATGATGATGGTGATGGTGATGGTGATGATGATGGCGGCGGTTGTGATGATGATGACTTTGATGATGCTGATGCTGATGCTGATGTCGATGATGGTGATGGTGATGATGCTGATGTTGATGCTGATGATGCTGATGACGCTGATGACGACAATGACCACGACGACGATAATGATGTTGATGATGATGATGATGATGATGATGATGACCTGGACGAGGACGAAGACGATAATGATTATGATGACGATGATGATGATGACGCTGGTGATGATGATGCTGATGATGATGATGATGATGAAGATGATGGTGGTGGTGAAGGTGTTGGTGATGGTGATGGTGATAGTGATGATGCTGTTGGTGATGATGATGGTCATGACGATGGCGATGGTTACCATTATGCTGATGGTGGTGATGATGATGACGATGATGACCATGATGATGGTGGTGCTGATGGTGATGGTGAAAGATATCGATGACGAGGATTTTGACGATTATGATGAGTATGATGAGACT